CTTTGTCCTCATTTAAATGTTTGTTTTATTATGAAGTGTTAGGAATTGAACCCAGGGCCTGAAGCATGCAAGATATGAGCTTTACCACTGAGCCACATCTCCAGTCTGCTTTGCCCTCATTTTATGGAAGAGGACACAGAAAAAAAAAATTGATTTGCCCAGGGATAATGCCCTGGCTAATGGAAATGGCATATGAAGCCTCTTTATCTAGTGCTTCCTTGTCTCTACAAGTCCCTTTCCCATTCAAACTCACTCATTCTCATTAATTCATTAAAAACTAAAATTTATCCAGGTCTATACCATGAAAGACACCAAAGGGGAAAGAGAGGATTATAATGTTCTTTGATCTTAAAGTGTTTACAATCTCCCTAAGGACCCAGATAAAGGAAAGTGGGGGAATGCCGCTTCTTGGGGTACTCCTGGCTCTGCACTCAGAAATTACTGCTACTGGTGCTCAGGAGAACCATGTGCAGTGCCAGGGATTGAACCTGGGTTGGTTGTGTGCAAAGTAAGCGCCCTACCTGCTGGACTATCTCTCTAGTCTCTGAGTTTCATTTTTAATCTGAACTTCCAAAGGACACTAAATTATACCATTTCCTTCCTTATTTGCCTGTAAGCAGGAGAATAAGAGATGAGTTATGTACAAAATGCGAGTAAAATTCTGTAGAGAAGCAATTTTCCTTAAGAGTTTAAATTGAATTAAAAGTGTTGCCTGTTCTCTCAACTATCGATATAGCCCCGTAATTGACATATTATCCCTAAACCAATTTTGATTCTCCACATTGATTGAGACACTCTCCTTCACTTAGTTGAGGAGTCCATGCCTACTCTCAAACCATTAAAGTACAGATTTGTTTCTCTTGAACCTAATTTCTAGCCATTTAAATGTTCTGCCCATTAAACTATAATAAAAACAAAAGAGTTGACATCATTGTCTGAAGAATGAAAGGACCACAGATTTTATTCTGAGCTGTTTTGTTTGTTTGTTTTGAGGTCCACATTGCGTGGTACTTTAGGGTTTACTCTTCGTTTTGGGGGCTTTCTCCTGAAAGTACTCAGGGACCATGAATTCCAGGGATCAAACTCAGGGTCTCCTACGTGCAAACCATGGACCCAGTCCATGGAGCTATCCTTCCAGTCCCTAAACTGAGTTTGGAAAGGAAAATGTGTACATTATGGAAGGCTAAAATGAATACAAAGGGATTGGGGATGTAGCACAGGGGTAGAACATTTGCCTTAAACATGTGAGGCCATGAGTTTGATCCTTGGTGCAGAAAAATAATTTTTTTTGAGTAAAGAAAATACAAGTACCATAGTTTAGTTACTTTGGGTTGAATATAGAAGAAAAATTTGAAATGGAACACACTGAGGCTACTGCATTAACTTTCAGGTGACTGAAAATTAATTTGACTTACAGCTTCACTATTCTGAACATCTTTGTCTCTTTGTCACACTCTCTCTCTCTCTCTCTCTCTCTCTCTCTCTCTCTCACCCCCACCCCTCTCTGTCTTTCCGGTAGGGGATTGCATAGCCAGAAGTGCTGCGGGGGTGAGGGGTATGTATGCAGTGCTTGGATGGTACGCAAGACCTGCTCTATGCCAGGCTGTCATTTTTTATTCCTTTTTTTTTTTTTTTTGCAGACATGTGGACTATGAAAGTGTATGTCTCCTATGATCTCTAGAGATTGATCTCTGTCCAAAGAGCCAGGGAACATTCTCTGAAGTGGTCTGAGAAGACCCTTGGAAAGTGTCTTTAATAAAACTTTCACCAACAACCACTCCTCCTCTCTTCCATTAGACACCAGGAAATGCAGTTATTTTCCAGTGCTGTCTGCCCATTCCTGGCTTCACATTTTTTTACTCGTGGAACAAAGAATTGCTTGTAGTCCCATCTTCCTATCCCTGCTCCCCACTCACATTCCCCCCTGACCCTCTCCTCCCAATCAATGAATTTCCTCTGGACTTGTAATGATCCGCTTTCAATCCTCATTATTCTAGGGGAGTCAGTCCCCATGTTACTACTTTTAGGAGATCTTCTGGACTTTTCCTTCTGTGGCTGGTTATCTCTTTTTTCTCTATACATTGTGTACCATGTAAATCTTCGCCATGGTCCAACAGCACTGTTTGTGACTTCCTCTTTAGTTTCCAAAATCTTTTTCATCAGGGACACTGAGCCTGGCCTACCTGGACAATTACAAAATAGTTTAACGAAGCCATTCTGAAAGTTTCCTTTTAGCTAATGATTGACTCTCTAGTTAATTATCAGGGCATCATTACACAAAAAGTATTGTCTGCATGAAGCCCTTACAATTGTTAACTTGTCAAAGCATTAGTTGCTAGGAAGTTCTAATCAGACTTCTTACCAGGCTCAGCCCTCCCCATTTGAGAAGTGCCTGCTGTTTATGGGGTGACCAGAGCAGTTTAATTTCCTCTTAAACTTCTACCTTGCTTGCCTCATCTCCATTTTAGAAGCAGTTCTGATCCAGTGAAATAATGATCAGAGCATCCATTTGTGAAACTATTTTTTCCCTGCATATAAACACATTATTTTTACAAAGGCAATTTTATTAGCTACATCCTGTAGTCCAGCAGACTTTCAACAACTTTAAATTACAAGGTTCACCTTGATTTTTCAGTCTTCCAGACATATACTTTTCTTAGTCTTAAAGATCACTTCTATACCCTTAGTTTGACTTTACATCTACTACCTTAGCATTAAATGCGCTTATTTTTTTTTTCCCCCTTTGACATTTTATCAGGCAGGGAACCACTGGCTGATCCTAAAAAATATTTTGCAAAAGATTGACTTTTCTTAATCTCGGAATTTAGGCGGAGGGGGAAAAAGAGGGTGGCCCCAGATAAGAATTTTAAGTTGAATTTCTCTTTACAAACAAACAAACAAACAAACCACCACCAACAACAACAGCAAACCCTCCGAACCGCTTTTAGGTACTTCGGAGGCCCGCAGCCCCGCAAGTCTAATAAATGAATTAGCATCTTAGGGAGATCGCTGCTGAGCTGATATTGATCAGGGTCAGCCTGTGTGTTTGCCTGCGATTGTTTGGGGGGTGGTTAATTGAGTGTCAGTCTCGGCCAGTGTCGTCTCGCTGGCGCCGGGTGCTTTTGGATTTGCTAATTTTCGTTAAGTGTCTCTAGCCGGCTTCGCGTCCCTTGTCTACCCAGGAGAACTAAGCGGCTCCAACTGATCAACAGTCTGTCTGTCTGGGCTTTATTGATCACAGGGCGGGCGGCTGCAGGCGGAGGAGCCGAGCGGGAGGGCGGAGGTGGGGCGGGGGTGTGCAGAGAAAGCTGAAAGCAGACCCCAGCGCCCGGCCCTCCCGTTTGGAGCTCCCTCTTGGGACTCCCACTCTCGGCCACACGCGAGACTGCGCCTGGAACGGCCACTCGCGCCCGGGGCTCCCGGCGGTTTCCAAGGTGGCCCTCGCTCCTTTCTGCAAAAAAAGGAGACTTGGGCATGGGGCGGGGACGCTGCTCGGCGGCAGAGTTGTGAGGGTCACGGGGGCTAATGCCAGCGCCTGATGCACAGGCTGGGGCACCAGCTAGCCGGTCCCGAAGGTCACGGACGTTCGGGCGTCCGCGAGAGGGAGCGCTGGAGACAGCTGCTGCCGCGCCCGCAGCAGCCCCAGACGTCGGCGCCGCTCGGAGCCGCGGGGCAGTTCCCTCCCCGTCGCCGTCTGGGCCCGCCCTCTAGCCGCGCGCGGGGGGAGACATGATTGACGGGACGCGAGCGGCCAATCGGACGGCGCCGGCGGGCTCCGGGGCGGGGCGGCGCCGGGCAGGCTGCCGGCGCGGGGCGCTATTTACGGCGCGGCGCTGGGCCGGCCAGGGCGGGCGCAAGCGGGAGCTCGCGGCGGGCGCACCGTGCTCCGTGCTCCGTGCTCCGTGCACCGTGCTCCGTGCATCGTGCTTCGTGCTTCTTGCTCCTTGCGCTCGGGCCGCCGTGCTCTGTGGCGGAGCGGAGCCCCGGAGTGAGCGGCGGCGAAGTCGGACCTCTCTCTCTTTCTCTCTTTCTCGCTCTCTCTCTTTCTCGCCCGCTCTCCGCTCCCTGCAGCTCTCGGGGCACGTCGGCGCGCCCCTGCAGCCCCGCTCCATGCTCCGGCCGCCGCCCGGCCCCTCGCCGCGCTGCTGCTGACGGCGCCCGCCGCTGCGGGCAGCACCCATGCCCTCGGCGCCCCGGGCGTCGTAGGCTGCAGCGGCGCCGCGGCTCCGGGGGGCGTCAATGGATCGCCATTCCAGCTACATCTTCATCTGGCTGCAGCTCGAACTGTGCGCCATGGCTGTGCTGCTCACCAAAGGTGGGTGCCGACCCGGGGCGCGAGGGACGTGGGCAGCCGACGCTTTGTTCGCGGCGCCGGGCGAGGCTTCGCCTCCCGCGCGGGAGCCCGCAGGTCGCGACAAGTTGCTGGGTTCTGGGAAGTCGCGGCGGGGGCTCGGCGGCCGCCCCCTCGGCTGGCCCCGCGGCGTTGAGCGGGAGTTGGAGCTGCGGGGCAAGAAGTTGTCACCCGGGCTTTTTTTTTTGCATAAGGGTTTGTCGTGAACTTTTGAACGTGGGCAGCGAGGGCGGCTCGAGGGCACCGCAAGCCCCAGCTCCCAATTGGACCGTACCAGGGAGGGAGGGGTATGAGTGTGTGTGTGTGTGTGTGTGTGTGTGTCCTCAATAGGACAGTGCCTGGGGTGTGTGTGTGTGTGTGTGTGTGTGTGTGTGTGTGTGTCTCCCCAGTTGGACCGTGCCTGGGAGGTGTGTACATGTGTGTCCAATTGGACCGTGCCTGGGAGGGCTGTGTGTGTGTGTGTCCTCAATAGGACAGTGCCTGGGGTTTGTGTGTGGGTGTTGTGTGTGTGTGTGTGTGTGTGTGTGTGTGTGTGTGTCTCCCCAGTTGGACCGTACCTGGGAGGTGTGTATATGTGTGTCCAATTGGATCGTGCCTGGGAGGGCTGTGTGTGTGTGTGTGTGTGTGTGTGTGTGTGTGTCCTGGTCCGTCCCGGCCGAGGGAACCAGTCTGGCTGCCTGGCTGCCTGGGATAGTGTCTTTGTGGATCTGCGCGCGTGTGTCCGTGTGAACCAGCGAAGCCGCCTCCCCGCAGCGTGAGTGTCTATCTCAGGGGTCCCGAGTGTGGATCGTTGTCTGTTGCATGTGGCAGGCTTGAGGGACTCGGTTCTGTGCGGGTCCCGCTGCCCCACTCACCTCGTCTTAAGCTACTCAAGGAGATGGGGCGGGAGGCGGGGGGGAGCAAATCTGCTGCTGGCCGATTTCCCCCTCTCCCCTGCAGACGTTCAGGTTGTAGGTTGAAAGAGCGCAAGTGCCTGTGGATTTCAAGGTTCCCTCACCTCCCCCCTCCTTGAACTCTGCCTACTGTTCTCTGAACAGTTTTTTTTTTAAGTAGGAAGCGTTATTTAGCTTGTGCACCCCCCACTTTTCTCTAATTGCCATGTAGCAGGCATGAGGTTAAAGGATAAGCTAGCCCAGCAAGGATGATGTGCTACAGTATTTATTTATTTTGGAAGGAAGGGTGTAATTAACCCTAAATAACAGCCCTTGCAGCCTGCAGAGGGGAGCCTCCTGGTCCTATCAAAGGCCGGCAGAGCAGGGAGGGACTGAGGCTGACATGAAGTCACAGATACCGAAACTATGTGCCTGATAATGATATAATTAGGGGATCAGAGATTTCTGACTGCTGTGGACTTCAAAAGCTTTAAAAGAAGCCAGTAGACTCTCCTGTAGCCATCTTGACTAAAGCAGACATTTTTGTTTAATCACTACATACAGTTACAAGAAAGGGGGGAACAGAAGAGCATTGTTCCCTGTTTCAAAATACCAGTCCCCTTTCTGGCCTTTTGCATGCCACGGGAAGAAACTTTATGAAACGACAGAAATATAGTTTTAATACAGTCATACAAAAGTCCATTCTCCTGGCGAAAATGTGGCTCCAATTAAAAAAAAAAAGTTGTTAGAACTTTCCTAGTTACCTGTCAAAATTTTATTAGACTGTTTTGGGTCATTGAAAATATAGTATTTTAAATAGGTTCTCATAAACATTTAATCGCTGTTTTACTTGTTTTTCGTTTTCTATTTTCTGTACTGAGGTTGGAGGCTATCAGGCTCAAAATGAACTTTTAATCTGTTTTGCTTCTACCTTTGCTATGGGTATGGAATTTGTCAGACTTAGGGATATGCACCATCCTTTAGGATATCATCCCCACCTAAGATGTGCTTTAAGCAAAAAAAAGTCAACTGGAAAGAGGAGAGAACATTCCTTGCAAAGCCAGCTTCTGATTTGACAGTTTTCTACCAGGGACCGAAGTGGCGGGGGTGGGGGGGGGAGTTTTGGGACAGAGAGCCAGATTTTAGGAGCCAAGAGCAAGACCCCTGCGTTGGTGCTTTGGCCAGTTGCCCTGGCCCTGGAGTTGTCAGAGGTCTGGCTTGAGTTGGCTGATTTTTTTTTTTTTTTTTTTTTTTTTTTTTTTTTTAGAACTAAAGCACTAGCAGCCTCAGGTGAAAACTGAGCATACCATACTGTGGCCTGGAATTTGGACACATAATTAAATGAGACACCTTGCTCAGGCTTTCAAAGAGAGGAGGAGGAGGAAGAAAGGTGAGGGTGGAAAGAGTTCTGTAAAGCAGCAATCTCCGGGTGTTTCATTTTAGAGCAGAGGTCTTAGCAGCTCACAGAACTTCAGATTCAGGCCTCCGGGAGGGAGGTGCATGCCTTAAGCTCAGTCAGTAGAAGCTTTAGCTCTGGCATGCGACAATGGCCGGGGTCCACCTAGTTGGAGAGCAAAATAGTTGATAACTCAGAGCCACATTATTTTTCACTAGAAATTGATGCTTAAAAGACTCCGATCTTGTATCTTGGAGGAAAACACTAAGTGACTTGTAACTCACAAAATAAGTTTTATAAAGGAAACATTTAATCACTTCCTGTAGAAAAATTTGAGGTTTCCTTGAGGATTATTCATTCAACCAGCAGAGGATTTTCAGTTTCAATGTTTTTCCCTTTAGATCCCATGTTGAATTACTCGTATAAAACTAGAGTATAGAGGGGGATGGTGGAGGGGAGGGAGAAGTTAGTCTTACAGTTTTGCCCCCCTTCTCCCACCCCTAGTTTTATGACTTTCCATTTGGGCTGAAAGAAATTGACTTTGGCAAGCAAACCACTAATTGTAAACTGCCTAGTTCCTGTTTTACAATATACTGACTAAAAGCTCCTCTGCATGAAAAGATCTTTATAGGCAAAGTTTGCCTTTTCTAGAGAGGTTGCAAATAGCTGCCCAGTTTCATAGTTTTAAAACCTCCTGACCAGAGCAATTTCTAGATTGTTGTGTTTCTAGTTAATAACTTTATAAGGTGTTAGCTAAAGCTCTTAAATCTTGGCACAGCCCTTTGAGGTAGTAAACAATTCAGTAGTGCCCATCAGATATTTATGCTGACAAAATCAAAAGCCTAGCGTTTTTTTTACATGGCATATCATCAAGGATTAAAAGAAACAAACAATGGCATCTCCCTTCTAGAAATTGCCTTGATTGTTATTTTCCTGCAAAACCCCAGAGAACTGTTTTTTTTTCTTTTCATTTTTTTTTTAAAAGCTGACTCTGCAGAAGGCAAAATCGAATTGTGTTTCTTTGCTACTGGGATTAAAAATTTAAATTCTGTTTCACCTGGCTTGACATTCACTTCAGCGCAGGAGCGCATTGTTTGAAGTTCACTTCAGTGCTGTTGTGCATTGGCAGGGCTTTCCCAAGGTCCACTTGGTTTGGTGTGGCCAGCACTCAGCCGAACCTTCTGAAAGTTGGTGCTTTTGAACTTGAAGTTCTGCAGGCTCCCCTGCTCCTCTCTCAGAGCGGCTGCAGCCGGTGACACTCCGCTTGTCGTTTCTAGGGGAAATCAGATGCTACTGCGATGCTGCCCACTGCGTGGCTACGGGCTACATGTGTAAGTCGGAGCTCAGCGCCTGCTTCTCCAGACTTCTGGATCCTCACAACACAAACTCCCCACTCACCCATGGCTGCCTGGACTCCCTGGCGAGCACTGCCGACATCTGCCAAGCTAAAGAGGCGCAAAACCACTCTGGCCCCACTGTGCCCACAGTGGAGTGCTGCCACGAAGACATGTGCAATTACAGAGGGCTGCAGGATGTGCTCTCTCCCCCCAAGGGGGACCCCTCAGGTAGGTCAGAGCCCTCTCGAACCCCAAGGTTGGGCCTGATCTAGGGAGCCTGACAGCCACAATTTTGTATGTCTGCTATTGATTTTGCTGCTAATGTGATCAGGGACACCAGCGGGAGAAGTGAGGCTGGATGCAAAAGCTGCATCTCTGTGGAGTAGCTTTTATGTCTGCCCAAGCATTAGTTGTCTGTCTCCATAATAGGTTTTGCCTTTTTTTCAACATTTTGAAGACATTAAAAGACCATTTACTAGTGGGTTCTGACAGCCTGTAAACAAATGTTGTTGTAAGCGTCTTTGAATTGTGTGGCAGTGTTTATTTTCGAAATACTTTGGATTGAACTGTCAGCTGCTTTTTTTAAAGGGGGGGTCTACCGGGGTGGGGGACGGGGTGCTGGGCACAGTAGAATGGGTTGATGAGTACGTGGCTCTCATCCCAAGGGTTTTTGCTCATTCTGTTTGTACTCCGGTAGGACAAGGCAACCGGTACCAGCCTGATGGTAGCAGAAACCTCATCACCAAAGTGCAGGAGCTGACGTCTTCCAAAGAGTTGTGGTTCCGGGCGGCGGTCATCGCTGTGCCCATCGCTGGGGGGCTGATCTTAGTGTTGCTCATCATGTTAGCCTTGCGGATGCTTCGCAGCGAGAACAAGAGACTGCAGGATCAGCGGCAGCAGATGCTGTCCCGGTTGCACTACAGCTTTCATGGACACCATTCCAAAAAGGGGCAGGTGGCCAAGTTGGACTTGGAATGCATGGTGCCCGTGAGCGGGCATGAGAACTGCTGTCTCACCTGTGATAAAATGAGGCAAGCAGACCTCAGTCACGATAAGATCCTCTCGCTGGTTCACTGGGGCATGTACAGTGGGCACGGGAAGCTGGAATTCGTATGACAAGAGTCTTATCTCGAGTGAACCTCTCGGACGCTTGAAGACCTTTGAGTTCTGCTGGACAGGAGCACTTTATCTGAAGCAAAACAAGCTATGGCGTCATCATCTTTGGAGAGACAGACAGACCTCTGCAGACAGAATCTTGGATATTTCTCCTGAAGGATTATTTGCACAGACTTAAATACAGTCATGTATTATTTGCTTTAAAAATGATGAAAAAGCAAAGAGAAGACTCTGCACACACTATTGCCAGGGTTATTTGCATCAGGGGGAGCTCAAGTGGAGTGCCCGAATAAACTAGACTGTGCTCTATGCAAGTTCCTACATCTTGATTTATTGTAAAGATTTTAAAATACACACACATATATATATTTTTTTTGTCTGAAATTTAGCAATGTCTTGTCCTAAATTAAAAATGAAGTGGGAAGTGTAAAGAACTACATGTTAATTATACAAATGAAGATTTGTCTTTGTTCTTGGTTTGTTCTTGACTCTAGAATTTGGCTTGATTTTTTTTTTCTCCCCCCTCCCCACCCTTTTCTTCCTTCTTTCAAACAAGACCAAATTTTGTTTATTCTTTGTATGGAGGATTTCTGAATGTGTACTGCCCAGTGTTCAGTGTGTTACACATACCTTTTATTGGGATAATTCTGGATTGATTTTTTTCCTTTAATCTATGAATCACTTAAGCTTATTTATACTGTCAGATATGACTGCTTAATTTTCTGAGTTTGCCTTAGTAAGGGTAATCTATTAATCCACTTGCTCTGAAATACTTTTTAAAAATGTCTACCTCCAACTTAAAAAAAAAAAGTAGGCTCATTTTTGGTAGTGAGTCCCTACTTTTACTGTTGATAATTCGTTTACTCTCAAACCAGATGAAATATTTTGGACCCAAAGTGAGTCATGTTTATTGTATGATTTTCCTAATTTTCAAATCTTAACACAGTATTAAGTTTTATTGAACTTGAGAAAGTTCAGGAAGGAGCTGGTAGGGCATTCACCTCACACTTGTCTGACTTGGTTTGTTCCCTGAGCCCCTCCAGGATTGATCCTGGAGGGCAGATCCAGGAGTAACTCCTGAGCATCACAGGGTGCAGTCCCAAACACACAGACACACAAAAAAGTTTCAGAAAAGTTTTCAACAGTGAACCTAAGATACCAGTTGAGATCGAAGTAACAGTGCCCTACTTGGTTGATTGATGCTCGCATTAGTATAATAAATGGAAGACTGGTTTTAGTCTGAATCTAGGGAAGTAACTGCGGTTTCCAGTTCCCATGCTTCCCATGCTTCGCGACTTCTTTTGCCTGGTAACTTTCCCAGCCTGAATTTAAACTTGGGTCACATTTGTGTACTTCCACCCCTCTCCCCATGGCTCTTTGTTATTTTAAGTGTGAGTATCACTTACCTTGTAGGGTTTTTCCTCCTTAAATCTTTTGTATATTTGAAACTTTCACTTAAAAATTAACTTATAGCCTAAACTTTTGTGTATGGGGTTTTCTTTAATGAATGTTAAAGGATTATTTTCATACTTTCTGATAAATATAAATGGGGTCCCTATAGAGAAATGCGTTGGCTGAGTTGATGGAGACTTTGAGTTGAAATCACTCATTTTAAAATGAGTACCTTGATTATTTAAGAGTTGACAGACCACAGCTCCAGACAAATTAGGCTATGGAATAAATAAGCATTTTAATAAATGACAGGATTTGTAGTGTGCTTTTTAAGGTTGACAGTTCTTGCATGCCTGATTTCACTTATAAAAGATGTAAAGTTTGGGTGTCACCTTTTGCAGTAGCTAAAAAAATATGTAAATATGTTTGGATATAACTCTTCACACCTGCCTAGAGAAAGACATTGATCAAATTGTAGTTGATGAAATTTCTATGTTCCTTTCCACTTTGTAGCTCTTGTGTCAATTTGCAGTAATTTTGCAGCTTGAAAATAATAAGACACGTTTGTGTCTTTTCATGCTGGTGCAGTGATTCTTCAACCTTTTTATAGACTATGCAGTTCTCTTTTTGGCCTTTCTCTTATTTAGTTCTTGGGCATCCCATTTCTTCCAAGCACCTTTTAACTACGAACTCAACAAATCGTTGGAAAGAAAGCAACAATAGAGAGTATAGAACTAGATTTGTTAAAACAAAAATCTAGTAGATTCTGCCCAGCAGGAAAGTTAGTTTAGCGAAATGCTACCATCTCAAGAATCTACTGGGAATTGAATAGTTTCCACTTGGTTCTGCGATTATTAACCTGCCTCTAGTTCTTTGCTAAAAATTCACAAGGCTGTTCACACCTCTCTGTTGGAGTGTGAGGAGAATTGGTACCAGGTCCTGCTTTCCCAGGATGAGATTTTCTGGGGCGGGGTTCTAGTCAGCTAATAGACATGTCCTGTTTTATCCAATACAATTTCCTGTCTTATCCCTTATTCACAGAGATTTTCACATGCTCTTGCCATTGGGATATGTGCATCCTTTGATCTTTCGACCAAAATATGGCAGGTTTCTCAGCTTTGATTTACATTTTTTTTTTCAAATTTGATTTTTCACAAAAATTTAAGTCTAGATTCTCCGTTTGCTTTCTGGTGACTGGAGATGTTGCCAAGAATAAAGACAAAACGGCCTTCATGGAATAACTACCTACCTGAAGGAAGAATGAACTGACATTTCATTTGCTTTTCCCTCCCAGATATGTACTGTTATTTGGAGGTGTTGGTACAAGGGCCCTAGTTAACCAGAAACAGCCCTTGTTTGATAATGATGTAGAAACTTGTCCCCTACTGAAGTAAATTTTCTTTATAAGTAGAAATTTGCCCAAACTGGAGAAAATTGGGACCAAATTTGCCATTTTTCTGTATCTACATCCCTTCCATTTTACCTATTGAAAGAAATTGATCTGTGCATGATTGTATTTTTTATGCTGTTTTCCTTCCCTTATTTTGAATGGCTCAGAGACTTCCTAGAAATTGACTGGTGTGTCTCTAATTTTGGCTGAACTGATTTTATTAAAAACACTGCACCATGGGGGGGGGGGCGGGGGTTGACCTTCTAAAATACCAAAGATGTCTGCTTTAGAAAATCACAAAGCTCTCCTCTGAAGAGTTGTAAATCTGGTTTTAATATGGGTTGATTATAGGCTAAATGCTTGAAAGCAGTGGCATCTAGTATCATGAATTTAAAACTAGCCCTTTTTTTTGGGGGGGTAGGGGAGGGAAGGACAGCTTTTTCCCTCCTCTTATAACCTCTAATTGGTCCTCTTTGTCCCTTAGCCTAAAAGAACCTCAGACCTTCCAAAGTTACAGGGTGTGATGGCTTGGCCTGTCCAGGGTAGTTCAGTGCCTGAGTTCAAGGGCTGCCTTTGTCCCTGCCAACTCTCTGACCCTGGGCAAGTGCTTTCAGCTCAGTTGAGCTGCCAATAAATGGAGGAATAATAATATTTTGTAAGATTACTGTTGGGAAGTGTAATAAGCATTTCTACTAATATGACTGAGCCTCTGGGATGAAGTTGCAGTGTTGGTTATTAGCCTGGTGCAGACTGTGCTCCGCCCCAGTCTTGATTTCCTTCTGTGACTCCCCATGGCCCCCCTACTTACACCATTTTCACCGGTGGCCCCTTTGGGATATCTTGGGGATCACAGAAGACCACATTGGCCCCTGTTGAGAAATGCTGCTCAGGAGTAGCCCAATATTTCTCAAAGCTTGAGACTTTTTTGCCAGTTCCATATGTAGTGGATATTTGTGCTTGACATTTTAACATTTCAGATGTTTTTTGAGTTTAGATCTGCAGGCTAGATTTCACTTTGAGGGGGGTGGGAGGGGAATAAGGATTGGGGTCTACCACTCGGACTATTACTGACTCGGCTCAGTTGTCCCTCCTGGAGGTACTCACTATTTTGTGTTTTGGTAATTCAGAGAATGAAATTGTTAGCCTTTTGGCTGTGGATGGCCATCTCCTGAGGACATCAAGAGACCCAAACATTTCAGAATGACTCAAACAGTTTGTGTCTGAGTCTTACTAAGCGGTTTTCAATTGCAGTTCGCCACATAAAGTACTTCTAAGCAAACTAAACAGTTTGATAAATAATTTGGGGTTGTCTTGGTGAGTGAAAAATCTAGTGAATTTCCTTGGATAAAGTGAGTTTAGTGACAGTGAGTCACACAGTGGGGGAGGGGGAAATATATATATTTTATATATATAGTGTATCACTGAGCTCTAGCACAGTGGGTAGGGCATTTTCCTTTAACGTGGTTGCCGAGGTCAACCCAGGTGACCTGGGTTCGATTCCTCCACCCCTCTCAGAGATCCCGGCAAGCTACCGAGAGTATCTCGCTCGCACAGCAATGCCTGGCAAGCTACCTGTGATGTATTTGATATGCCAAACACAGTAACAAGTCTCACAATGGAGATGTTACTGGGCCTGCTTGGGCAAATCGATGAACAATGGGAGGACAATGACAGTGACAGATATATTAATCACAATTTGTCCTCATCCTGGAAGCAAGCTGGGTTGGTGAACACCTCAAGTGTTAAAGCACAAACCTAACCCTAAGTTACATCCCTGCTACTGCATGACCCCAAGAGGATGCTTAGGTGTGGCTCTGGTGGCACCCAGCACTGTACTTCAGGCCAGGCATTAATTAGCCAGGCCTGTACTGCTGGGCCAAGCTTTGCCAGTATGGCCCCAGTAAACTTTTCAAAGACCAGGAATGTGGTTCAGTGGCAGCACACTTTCCTTTCATGAATGAGGCCCTGGGTTCGTGATTTCAGGCACCACAAAGAAATAAATAAGCAGAAAGGCAAGTAGTTGAGCTAAAAATTCTGAATCAAGTGAAATAAAATAGAAGGCTCTTTCACATGTGGACAACCCTTCATAGTTTGGTGCTCCCAGCTGGTTCTTGTCAGCCAGCCAGCACTGCACACCTTGTTTTCCCCTGCCCTTTGTTGTCTGTCTGATCTCTGGGGAGCACTGGTTGTGGTTCTGACTGGGGATCCCAGCTGGAGTGCAGGGCTTCTCAGTGGAGGGCACGGAGGAGCTTGCAGGAGGCCTCACCTCTTGCTTCGAAGGCAGCCACTCTACCACTGAGCCACAGTCCTGCAGCCTCTGCGTGGCTTTGCTGCACAGTGAAGAGAATGCGCTTGTCTGACTTCCTCGAAGTTTGAAAAGAGAAATAGGAAGGCGATAGAAATAAGCCCAACCAGAATGAGGTTTACTTCTATCAGCAATTTCCCAGGTGTGTTTCTGACTGGGGGATACTTACCAGTCAAATTACTGATGAACAAAATCATTTTGGGACTATCCTGGAAGAAGCAGTTAGGGAATACTCCAAGCAGCTCTCAAGACTTTTAGGAGATGCATTTCATCTAGTAAGGGTGGCTGGCTGGCCCTTCAGGGCGAATTCAGATGGTGTTAACCTACCTAGATTTTGCAGTCTAGATTGATCTTGGGCCGATTAATGATGAGTAGAATCCTGGA